CTTACAGGAGCCCCTAACTGTGCCACCCTTGGAATGGGTTAGTGTGCAGGCTCAGAATATTGTGGATTACAGTTTTTCATAGAAAACTACCACATATGTAGACAAAAATGATCTCTGAAAGCATTGCCAGCAGCTGGGTATGTTCCTTAGATTTCCACTTAGGTTTGGCATTTTGGCAGATAGCTGATCTTGTATAAAGTATCACATTTTACTATGCTTAGTGTTCCTGGGTTGTGTTTATCTACATTATTAGAGGGAATTTTTCTTTTAAAAAAATTATCCTTCATGAGAAGAATGGGAGTTCATACCACATAGTATTTTACCGATTTATATAAAGTGGGGAAAGTCTTTTAATACTTCATGATCACTTGAATTAAAGTTTTTGTATCTCTGGAAAGTAGAATAGTGCTTTCATTTGAATGAAAAGTGTTTATAGAGTCAGAGAGAGAGTTAACGTCTTTGTATCTTGGTTTATATACAGACCCATTTCAGAGGGGGTTAAATGTCTTACAAATCCAGTAATTTCGAATAACAGTGTTGGCTATTTAAAAGAACATGTGGCAAGTTCTATATGAATATTCTTGGTCATCTCAACTAATTCTGAGGCAATGATGAACGGCTCTACCTCTTATTTAACTCTAGGCATGTTGACTTTTCAAAGCGATTTCCTTATTTCTAAACAAAGATGTTGATCAATTAGTTACTAATTCTTTAGAGGAAAAAATGTGTATTTTGAGTGTGGAGTTGATTTTATAATGACAGGGTAATTATTCAAGTTGTTTGATAAATTTATTACTATATCATAAGAGAGATCTTTGACTGTTTTTCTTCCTTTTTCTTGGACATCACTTTCTTCCCTCCCCCTTCTCTCTTTTGTGTTTTTTTCCTTGTTAAATTTTATGTTTACGTTATCATCTTTCTTATACTTTCCCCTGATTTTTCTCTTTTAATTCCTCTTTCATTCTCTGCCTCTTCTCTTTCAGTTCTTTCTGTAATTGTGCCTATTCCTTGCTCAGAAAAAGTGGAGCTGTTAGTGGTAGAACCACTGCTCATTGCCTATTAAATGAGATTCTAGAAATACTTTCCACTTTGGCCACTGTTGCGTTTTTGCAAAGGTAAAGTTCCCCTGCCATTTTGAAATAGCTGAACAAGTTAAAGTAATATGTTCCAAAAACTGGAAGTGCCATAAAAAACTAAAAATAAAAATAAAAAAATTTGTGACTATAACTCCTACTGTCTTTATGAATACATGGGATTCAGCAGCCAAGATGCTCACAAAATGGGATTGCTATAAATATGATGGATTCAGCATCTAAATTTGGAACAATCATATCTTTTTTGTTATGTGGATAGAGAGACTATATATCTTTTCTCAAAGTAAAGTATTTAAAACCTGTTTAAATGAGCATTTTGGCTGGCATGGTGGCCCACACCTGTAATCCCAGCACTTTGGGAAGCCAAGGTGGGAGGATCACTTGAGGCCAGGAGTTTGAGACTAACCTAGACAACATAGCAAGATCCTATCTCTGGTTCAAAAAAATTTTTTAAATTAGGGTTTTGGTTTGTTTTTTATGATTTTGGGAGGTGGGGGAGATCTTTGTTTTTTGAGGCAGATGTTTTAGATTTAGATTTATTGATTTATAATATTGACACTGCCTACTTACAAGAAGGATTTGAGGCAGCATATATTGCCCATGTATTTCAACTATTTTCATTTTTCTCTTGCAAAGCACTATTTGATGGAAGACCTGGAATCTTATAGTTCTCATATCTGAGTCTTTCTGGCATGTATTTGGTGTCTGTGTGCTTGTTTCACCCAGAGGTCAATTGAAACCTTCTTAATTATACTGTGGTATTGATTCTATCCCCTCAAGTATGAAAAAATTATTAAATTTTGAGACCATTTTCGGTTGCTGTGAATGTAGTTACACTAAGTTTTATTTTAAACTAAAATTCAATAAACAGTGCAGCCAGAGAAGAGCTAAACCATGCCATTATTTGGAAAATCATCGCAGTATATTAACAACTGCTTCCTTCTATGAAGTTTTACGAGATGCGAGAAAAATACTCCATACCTTTAATATTGCAATTTTATTTTTATCGAGAAAAATAAAATATTAGGCTTCAGACCCAACTGTGCAAATTTCATTTGCTTTCCATCTCTTACTACTACCTCTGTGTCATAATTTAACACATAACATACAACTCCTGTCTCTTAAGGCAGCTACCATATGGTGTTTATGTCAGACTGGATATATTTATCTAATTTTGTGAAATTCTTTTTTAGTTCCCAACACAATTCTTGAAAGTAATACCACTGTTGTTACTCTTTCTCCTTACAATTTTTATGTTGTTGAGATGTATCAGTTATGTATTATAATCATGAAAATGTATTGGCCTCAAACCCAGATTTTCTTTGTAGTCTAGGATAGATTTTTCATGAAAGCTATATAGTTATAACTGTGATTGTATAGATCCTTTATTTGCTTTACAGTTACCATTAAGCATGATTCCAGGTTTTTAATTATGTTCCAGCAATACTAGTATTTCTTTATAACTTGAAATCATAACCACTTTGATAATTTACCTTTGGATCTGACCAGTGATTCATTTTTTTCTTGAATATACTTTGTGTTTGCTTTCTCATCCCCATTAAGTCTGAAACATTATTGATAACCCACATCACTTACTCTGTTTAAAGACTTTACCAGTAGTGAGTCACATGTTTAGGATGATCAGTTTGGAAAAAAAAATTATAGAATAAAGGGGAAATGTTCTTGAGAGCTTTATTAAAACCATTAATATATAAAATGAAAAAATAAAACAATAAACAGAAGACACAAAGTGTCTCTCAATACTTTAGAAAGAAAGACTTGGAACCTTAAGTAAAAATGCTAGGTCAAGTAAAAATGTAATCCTGATGTAGATTAGATTCTCTTAATCTTATGAGCATTTTTTTTTAATTTGGTGAAGCTGTTTTGAAACTGCCTGTCTGTATCAATGCCAGACTCTCTCTCTACCTCTCAAAGAAAATAATTTGCTTTAAAATTCCTTTTTTTGTTATGTAATGAAAGTATAGAACAAGAATTTGTACACTACTCAGTGTGTACTGCAGTCATAGTTAAAACAATTTTTCTAATTGCTAATTTTAACCATCATTTCTGGAGTACCTAGTATGTGCAGGCCAAGGTTTTACCTGTATTATTCCCTTTAATCCTCAAAGTAGCCTTGCAAAGAAGTTATTTTCATTTTACAGAAGAGTCAAGGATCAGGGGGTTGAAGTGATCAGGGGGACTAGAGTCACATACCTAAAGTCCAGGTGGATCACTATGTCTTGATTTTTCAAAAGCAGTTCTTTCTACTACAGTACAATACTTTCATGTTTTACAGTCCATTAAAATCCAAGACATATAAAATAAACTAAAAATACTCTTGAGGCAATTACTATTTCTATGAGAGCCATTGGGACAAATATACTTGAACATAACAAAGAACTTCAAATACTGTGAAAAAAAGATTTGTCTTAATGATGACCTTGAAAATTGCATTGGGTTTTTATTATTGGTCCAGGTTTAAAACATTTTATCTGTTTAAAACATATGTTGTGTGTTGTAAGAAGTTATGTTATGTTATAATAACAGCATTGTGGTTAAGAGCCCAGAGTCTGGGGCCAGACTTCTTAGATGCAAATCCCAACTCTGTTATTTACTAAATGCGTGACCTTCGACAAGTTAATTAATCTGTTTTGGTGTCCTCCTCTGTGAAATGGAGTTAACAGTGGTTATTTAACAGAATTTAAAATGGAGTGTGTTCTAAAGTGCTGTGCCTGGAGCATTATCACCACTAAGTAGTTAGGGAAGTAAAATACATTTGGCACACATCATTCCAGAATGGCCAGAAAATCCACGTCTTCCCACAATAGGGACCAATTTTTTGCCTTTCACCGGACAACCACTGAATGTTAAGACTCTGCTGTGTGCTAATAACTGTCCTTGCTGTATGTGACAGAAGCTATTTGGAGCACTCTCAAGTGCTTACTATAGCTAGTCAAGGAAACTGCATATATAAAATAATACTGGATACAAGACTATACAATTAAATACTGGTGTATCGCTAACAACGTTTTAGACCCTATTTTGTGTTAGGCATTGAGTTAGTCTCTGCCCTCATGGAGTTTACCGTTTTATAGGGAATACAGACCTTTTAACAAGTATGTCAAGTACAGTAAAAGACAAGTACAGATTAAAATGAGATCATAAAATAGCCTAGTCTTCTGTGGTTCAGGTTAATATCGCTGTTAGTAGTCAGAAGGAAGTTTTTTTAAAGAAATGAAAAAGCTCAGTGGTTAACGTAGAACTCAAAGTGAGTCTTGATGGCTACCTAGATTTTGGATGAGTCCAAAGGCTGTATGGGGGGATTTCAGGCAAAGATACTGTGAGCAAGGTATATCTGTGAAATAGAAAACAGTACATTTTGGTGTATTGTGTGAAACAAGGTTGGCTGTGAAGGATTGGATCCCTTCATAAAATTCCTTGAAAGCCAAGGAGAGTAGTTTAGATTTGAGATGGCAGGGGTCTGGAGTGATTTAAGAATAAATTATGAAACCAAGGAAGATAAACTTGCAATCATAAGCACGATAGGATATATATAGTATGGAAAGCTAAGGTAGGAAGCTGTTGCAATTTTCTTGCTACGAGGTGATGATAAAGGATCGATTCACTAATGGTGGTCATATTGAGAAAGGATACTTAAGATTCCTGATATTATGGGGGGTGGGAGAAAAAGTTGATGGTAACAGTACATTATATGTGCATGATGAGTATATTGGTGTTAGCACTGTTAAAAATAGATTATGGAAAGGAATCTAAGTGATAAAGTAGCGTAATGACTAAATTTAGTTGGAAACTACTGCTGTAACAAATCTGTATACCATAGACCAAACAGCTGTTTAATGGCCGTTTAAAAATCTGTGCCATTATGACAAAGGACATTTGCTCTGGTGCAGAATAATCTGATCCACTGTGCAGTGAATGAGCAGTGAGGGTTGATCCCCATGGCAGTCCAATCTTTGCTTATCAAGGAAGGATGGTGTGAAGTTTCTACAGACTTTCTGGTAAGTGATTGATAGGTGAGTTTATGCTTTGAGTTTATGATTTGATTGAGTTTATGCTTAGTGATTGATAGATGAGTTTATGGTTTGTCAAGTAAAGCATTTAATTGCAAATGTATTATGTTTACACAAATATTCTTAATTGGAAAGTTTCTGAATATGCACGTAAAAATGTTATGAAATATGTCAGGCAGGCTGATTTTTAACTTGAAAACTTGTACTTTAAGAAATTGTTTGGGTCCCATCGCCTATACCATGTAGAATAGAAACAAAAAGCCAGTTATTTTTTAATTTGCAATTAAACCTCTTGGTCAGGAGGATCTGTTGTCCAACATTACATCGTAATAGCTTAAGAAAAAAAATCTTATTTTGGCAGAAAGGAAATTATACAAGGATATGAAGGATCAAAGTCTGGGCGAAGACAATTCTAGGTTGTAGCTAAACATGCTTTTCATTTCCCTCCATTCCTTACTTTTGTCATGAGTATGGATTTTCAGGGGTAAGGCTGATAGGGCTACCGGATCAGTCATTAAAAATTGAGAATGCAGAGTTAAACTGGAATATCAGATAAACAATTTAAAATATATATGTAACACACATATGCCAAAACACTGGTTATCTGAAATTCCAATTCAACTGGGCGTCCTGTATTTTATCTGACAAGCCCTAACTTTTTCTTTAAAACAATTTGTTAACTTCCTACAAAAAATCTCTAAATGGGAGGAAAAAAAAAACAAACCCGTAAGTTGTCTGGGCCAAAAGTAGAAGTGGCTCCATGGCAGTCAGCCTTCTCCCTAACTTGGTTTAAAAAGAAAAAGCCAAAACCACGAGTCCCAGAAGCTTGCGTTTAAAGCGAGCTGTGCCGCAGCCTTCCCGCCTGTTTTCTGCGGAATGTAGCTCAGCAACCACCCCCCGTGGGTGGGGCTCGTATGATTGTGTCCTTGCTGGATGGGAAAGGAGGTGCCGGAAACTTCAAACCACGGCCAGGGTACAACGTGTCCGCTTAGGCGGCGGTATGCGCCGCCATCTTCTTTGCGGGCAAAGGCCGGAAAAAGTTTGGGACTCCACTTTTCCCCGCTGAGCTGACGGAGGGCATCGCCCGTTGCCTCAGCACTCCGGTGACGTGGAATCGGGGTCCCCTCTTTCGGGGCTGATTTCTGGTGGCACGTCGAAGCTTGCCAAGGCGGGGAAAAGGGACGCCGCCTCTATCCCGGATGTAAGATGGCGGCGCGGGGGGCCGCCTGGTGGGGCGGTCACGTGGTGAGGAGTAGCGCGCGAGGCTCCTTAAGTGATCTCTAAGGTTCGTCCGGACGCACAGGAGCAGCGGAGCGCGAGACGGGTCTCGTGTCCGCACGCGTCGAGTCGTCGCCGTCGCCACCCGGGCCATCGGCTGGCCCGGTTTCACTGTTAAGGGGTTTTCGTTTGTTCCGTTTTTGCCTCCTGCAGAACTGAACGGGATTTCCCCGAAGGGTGCTGGGGAACGGGTGGCCTGGGGACTTCCCGGCTATGCCTTGGCTGCTGTTTGGCGGAGCCGGCGGCCGCCTCTGCAGGATGCGCCCCGGCGATTGTCGGCGCCGAGAGCGGGCCGACGGCGGGTGCGGCAGCGCGGCGCGGGTGGGGACCCGGGTGCCGACTCGGCCGCAGCCCGGCCCCCACCGGGGGCTCTGAGCAGGGAGGGGCGCGAACGGCGCAGCTCGGGACGTGGCGGCAGCTGCTAGCGGGCGAAGCGCTGGAGCGCTGCTCGCTGCCTCTCGGGGGCCGTCCAGAACCAGTTGGTGTCTGACTGCGCTTTTGCCGCCCATTTCCTTTTTTCGAGCGGTGAGGCAACGCGCTCCCCTCGGGCAGTGGAGGGAGCGGCTTTCCTCGCAGGACACCGGCGCTTTTCTTCAGAGCGGTGGCTGACGTAGAGAACGCCGGCTGTAACACCCGGGCGCCGGCGCCGCCTCTGATCCCCGTAGCTCTCGGGGCGCGCCGGGAGCAGCCGAGGCGCTGGGTGCTGGGCGGGGTCTTCGGGCGCGGCGCGGCGCGGCGGGGAAGGGAAAGGAAAAGAAGGGACGGCGGGCCGACGTCGGCGGCGAGGAAGGACGGAGAAGCGCCGGAGCCGCTTTGCTGCCCTCCGCGTGGTCCCGTGCCTCCCCTACACCATGGCCCTGGCTGAGGTAGTAGTTTGTGCTGTTGGTCGGGTTGTGACATTGCCCGCTGTGGAGATAACTGCGCAAGCTACTGCCTTGCTAGTGCTGGTGATGCTCAGCGCCGCGGAGGACAATGGCTGGGAATCCCCTTTGTTTTCCCTGGCGCTGCCTGGGGACAGCCCGCGAAACCTCGGCGCCCGGCCGGCGCGGCCAGCACGGAAACCGTTAGTTTCACATTTTCCTGGAAGAAGGAATTGAGGGGAGTGGGGTGGACCGCGATCTTTTTTAAAGGTGGGGGAAGAGCTAAGCCATTGGATTCCTTTTCTTGAAGGAAGGAGTGGAATTGTGTAAGATAACTTTTTCACCCTAAAGAATTCTAACGCTTCTTTCAGCAGTTAAATGCCAGATTTAGTGTGTACCTGTTTTACTTCATTCTTTAGCTGTAGGTTGGAGTGGAATGAGCGATCTGCAGAACTGGCTTTGTAGGGGCAGAAGTAGACTTGATAATTAAAGTTTATGCCTTAACATTTTAGATCTGGTTTCTGATATGCTCTCTTAGTAAATCTGAGCGTGTCTTCAAAAATGTAAACCCAAAGCAATTTAAAGTTTCTCTTTAAACTTTGCAACTCCGTGAATGAGAAGATTGAATTTATTTGTAGGTAATTGCACTATTCTGATTTTTAAATGTATGAGGCAAACAAATAAATTCTATGTACAGTGTGCTGTGAATGGTTTTGTTTTTTGTTTTTTTGTTTTTTTTCTTTTTAGTTTAACCTTGGGACTCAGATTCTGCTGTGGTGGTGGGTTAGCTTTTTGGTTTTTATGACCTTTGATTCCAATGTTATGTGGTACTTACATCTTTGAGGTTTTGTATGGGAGAAGAGGACTAGGAATTGAAAGTGTGGTTTCTAGATTTGAGTTTAAAATCTACTAACACTCATTTTGATTCCTGAGTGGCCACTACTCCTAATAGCAAAATATCTTTGCATAGAGTAAAAAGGTAGTTTAGATAACTAATGAAAATACTCAGTGTTCTAATACCCTGAAGTCTGCGTGGAAAACCAGATACTTGTATTTTTGCATTTTATTTTCACTGAGGGAAATAAGTGGTCAGGTTTAGTACTTTTCTTTGAAAATTGGTGTGTATTTGTACAGAATAGGTAGTTTTGAATATAATGTAATCACAATTTTGTATGGTTTTCTGATGCTCTGTTAAAAAAAAAAAAGGCAGTTCTTTAAACCAGCCAAACCCTTCAGCAGGAGTTCGATGCTTTTATTATTCAAAAGTGATCTGATATATGTACCTTGATTGGGTTTGGTTTAGCCTTGAGAATAACCTTACTTAATCTGATCTCATCAGGATGGCGCGGCCTCATTGTAGAAAGGGCAGTGAAGAACCTTATCTTGAATCTTAAGATGCAGAAAATACTTGAATGTTGGCTCTTGAAGTATGCTTTTCTTGATAGCAAAGCAGAGGAAATTCAAAGCTTTATTAAGTGCTTGTTTTCTTAAATAATGAAAACCTCTGGGATGTTATGTCAAATCTTGGTTTATGGAGAAACTAATCATAACATGTTAATTGCATTATGATTTTATTTTCCAAAACACTTCATTCAACCAACCAAGGTAATCATCCAACCCACTACATTCTAACATTTTTATGGAGAATCAACAGTTGTTAATCTGCATCCCAAAGTATAACAAATTCTGCTGGTAATTTCAACTTTCAGTGGATAAGCACACCAGAAATGCTCAATGTTCTTTGTATCTTGTACTTTTAAATTTTATCCACAACTACATATTGCCCAAATAGTAGTAACATTTTTGAGTTACTGGATGTAAAGGTACTTTGAGAGATTAACTGTTTCCCAAGTTACAAGAGAAAATACTGCCACCAGCCGACTTGTTTTAGTCCCATAGCTATATTTCTGCTCTAATCTCCAATTTTAAAAATGAATCTGCTAATTACATTTGTCTACACACCAACTGAAAATTACCAACTGAACATTTTCCTTGTTGACAGTTTCCTACAAGATGAATTTGCCTTATCAAAAATACAGCTTTCTGAACTTAGTATTATTGACATTTACTTGGTGCAATTAACTTTTTTGTTAAAGGTCTACTGTCAAGCATTTAAGTAATTTGTAGTTGCAAAAAGCCACTGATGGAAAGTAATAAGGCCGTATTTTGAGTGCCCTTCTCAATAAGTACATACTAAACCAAAGGAAAGCTGGATTATGGTAATAACATTTTAATAAATGCCATCCTCAATTGGAAATGGAGATGATGTTATGGTATATAGGACACACCATATGGAGAAGATTCTTGGAGAACACAGTTTTGCTTCATACTTCAAAATCCTGATTGCTAATCTAACATAGAAAAGCTTTGTTTACAAGCTATTTTAAAATAACCTTTTGGCAGGTAGGCAAGGGTGCACTCAAGAGATTGTGTCTTGTGGAGTGGTCCCCAAAGAATTCCTGCCAGAGGCACCTGACAGCACAGATTAGCTCTTCAATGTATAAGCACAAAGCACCTAAAAGTCAGAGATTTCTTCCTAGCTACATGTTCTCTCCCCCTATTGTTTATTACACTCCACCCCCTCCATGGTAAAGAAAGCTGACAAAGGAGGTACTATTAATTTCCTTTCCCATTGAATAATCACCTCTGTAATTTCTACAGCAAAAGGTAAATAGGACAATCATCTTCAAAAATGAATTAGGCCAGACTGGTAATACCCAAAAGGAGAATTAATGACCATTGTCATAAACTCTGAAAAGCCGTTGGTGCTACTGATAATTAAGCAAAAATTTGAAAATTATTTCCAAGATTGCATAATGAAATTCACCAAGTGTTTTTGTTAGGTTATCCCTGTTGGGCACCATGGGGAAAGCAAAATAATTGTATAGTTAGGTCATTGCCCCAAAGGAAAACACAGGAAAGATGTTACATGAAGTGTTTAAGGATCAAAATGTAATTAGCTGAGTGTGGTGGTGCGTGCCTGTGGTCTCCACTGAGGTGGGAAGATCTCACGAGTCCAGGACTTTGAGGTTGCAGTGAGCCATGATTGCACCACTGCAGCCTGCACAACAGAGTGAGACTCTGTCCAAAAAAAAAAAAATGTGAGCTTAGTGCAGTGGTGTGCACCTGTAGTCCCAGGTACTCTGGAGGCTGAGGCAGGAGGGTCATTGGAGCCCAGTAGTTTGAGACCTGCCTGGACAAAATAGTTGAGATTCTGTCTCAAGAAATTAAATAAATAATCAAAATGTGGGCAGGTGAGAAAAACATTAGTGACGTACTTCACTTTTGAGACCTGGCAGAAAAGTGATTGAACGAGCTAAAGGAAGAGAAGTATGGAGCACTCCAAATGGTATAGTGTAGTAATTTAGGGAGTTCTTTTGGTTATGTTTGTTTCCTGAGATCTTGGAGATGACAATCATAGTGATAACGATATTCTAAGCGATTTACAGTTTAATTTCGTATTATCTGCTACAAATATGCTGGGAGTGTCATCAGAATTAAGAGAAATAGTTCTACGTGGAATTTGTTTTCTTATCTCAAGTTGAAAAATTTTTTTTTGGTTACATTTGTTTTACAGTTACCTTTCTTTAAAAGTGCTGTTTTGTTCCGATGTAATGGAATTGTGCCTACACAGGATTTTTGGCCACTAAATTTGTGAATAGGGTCCTTTTAAGGCATACCATTGACACTTGATAGTATAACTGTAGTCTTTTAGTTGTATCGAATACGAACAAACCTAAAATACAAATATTGTGTTGTTTTTAAGGATAAGTTCCCAGTTCTTTCCTCTTACTCAATATCAGACACTTGTGGAAAATATATTATTTTCTTCGAATCAGTTTACAAATTCCGTTAGTTCCATTATAATATAATTGAGAGTATTTTATCATGGAAGTCAGGAGTTCGCAGAAAGCCAAACAGTATGATATGTCACAGAAAATTCAAGTAAATTAAGGACTAAAAACTACACAGACATTGACAGTTTAGAACATACATGTAGTTGTAATGTGTTTTCTGTTACACATGAAAAATCCCTTAACTGCTCTTTGGTTGAGTAATAAACAATTACGAGTGTTTTATCTCACTTTGAACGTAACTACCCAAAAGGTATTAAGATTCAGAGATTGCTGTTTTAGTATTCTGCACATAGTATATTTTAGAGTCCTTGTTAAACAGAAGTATTATGTAGATACAGGGCATGGGCTAGTTTTAGTCATAATAGTAACACCGAGTTAATGGTACCATAATAGACAGCTGAAAGAACTGACTAAACCCTAAAAACAGATACATAAGCAAATTAAAATATATTTTTTCCTGTTTTAAAAACAAATTTACATACTTTTTAAGAGTTTAGATGAAAACCCTAAGAATAAGAATCCTATCTGCCATTCATTTCTTTTTGTAGTGAATGAAGCTTATACACAATAAATAAGTTCCAGATAAATTCAACAGGTGAATCGGATACCTACTATATGCCAGGCACTGGGGATATACAGAAGATAAAACCAAAAATAAACAAAAACAAAAAAACACCCACTCCACATTATGGAATTCACATTGTAAAAGGAATACATTTCCCTATAATAATAATTACAGAAATGTAGTGAGGACAATCCATGGACCACCTGAGTTTTCAAACCTGAGTTCCGGTCATACACCTGTTCTAGAGCCCTCGCTCCAAAACCACTATTGATATTGCAGTTGTATGTTTAAAAAAAGCCAGTTCCCATTGATTTTTGTTATAATTGTACCTGCATTAAAAAAAAAAAAAGATAATTTAGTTTCACTAGGGCTGTTTTCTTCTCTTTCTCTCTTTTTTCTTTTTTTTTTTTTTTTTTTTTGATGGAGTCTTGCTCTTGCTCTTGTTGCCCAGGCTGGAGTGCAATGGCACGATCTCGGCTCACTGCAACCTCCACCTCCCAGTTCAAGCGATTCTCCTGCCTCAACCTCCCAAGTAGCTGGGATTACAGGCACCCGCCACCACGCCCGGCTAATGTTTGTATTTTTAGTAGAGATGGGATTTCACCATGTTGGCCAGGCTGGTCTCGAACTGCTGACCTCGTGATCCACCCACCTTGGCCTCCCAAAGTGATGGGATTACAGGTGTGAGCCACCGCACCCGGCCCGCCAGGGCTGTTTTCTGTCTCCTAAACAGGATGACACTTCAGGAGGTACTTCACCTTTAAGAGCTTACAATGTTGTAGCAGGTGCCCAACTACGTTGTGGAGGAATCTAGACCACATAGCTAGACATCACATTTTATGATGTACACTCTAAACGTTGTAAAAGTTCAAAGAAGCAGGAGTGCACTGTGAGTAGGTAGAGAATGCATCTCTCTGGAGCAGAAATGTCAGATTATTTTAACAGTATAAGCTATGGAGAGTGATTATGTGCCTTGTGGTGCCTGAGAACAGGAAAGAAAGAATCAAGTATCTATTCTACCTTCCTTATATAATTTATACCTCAGGGTAACTAAATGGTTGTGAGGGAGATTTCCTCATTACAGAATAATTCCAGTTTCTCAATGCAGAAGGTCTGATAGAAATAGAATGTTAACATTTACAACAGCTCATGAAATAAAGCTAGACCTCTTCAATGACTAACTTAATGGTTAAAACCATTAAGTAAAACGCTGATGGAGAAGTATTTGATAAATGAATCAGTAGTAGAGAAGTATTTAATTCATGGATCAGGCTAACCAC